AGAGGGACATTGCAAAAGTACGAAATTGTATTAACTGATAGATTTGTTAACGGATCTACTAAACACTTGTTTTTAATATCAATAAGAAGTCCATATTTACACAAAAAATCAGCTCCTATAATCGGCTTCGCAATATCAGCAATCAAAAATGTAAAAAGGAACTCACGCCTTAAACCCAAATTAATATTCAAAAGTTTCTTCCCGTATGTAAAAATAGTTGAGCCGTTAGCTGCCGTTAAAATTATATCTGAAGATTTCCTAGTATTCGAAAATTTAGAAACTGGAAGTACCGAAATTTCTGCTCCGCTATCAATTAAAAAATTTAGTTTGTTTGTTTTATCAAATATAAAAAGGCGACGTGTGGAAATGTCCAAATTCCCGTTGTTTGTCGCCGCAACAACGGGCGACTTTAGTTTGTTGGACTATTATTTTTCGAAAATGCACATGGTTGTTCACATTTTTTAGCCTTGTTTCCAAATTTATAATGATATCTACATAACCAATTCGGATTGTCGCGTGATTTTGATCGATATCTAAAAGGGCTCCTAAAACGATTCCTATTCACTGAACGTGACCTTGAATAATTTTGATTCATTTCCCTCCTCATTTCACATAATTCCAAAGAAAGTTTTTCAAAATTTTTAAAAATAAGAGAAGTAGTGTTAACCAAATTAGCCATGACTGCATTTTCACCTTTTGAATTTTGAAAATCATTAACTGAAGCTATCTCGCTTTTGCTAATAACCTCCCAAACATTATCAGCCAATTTCGTCAATTCACTAATACTGCTTGAATTAGAACTAGCTAAAATCACGCTTAGGTTCTTCGGTAACTTCCTCATCCAAAGTTTCTTAAGAATTTCTTGACTAAAATTGGAACCCGAAAGCAGTACAAGTGACCGATAAAATTCCGAGGGCTTACGATCACCCATTTCAGTATCCGATAAAATTTTGTCTAATTTCGCATTCTCACTTAATGAATGCCTTTCAATTAAAATTTTCTTAAGTGCAGTAAATTTATTATTTTCGGGCGGATTTTGAATAAAGTCTAAAATCGTTATTATAACTTCTTGCGGAAGTGCAGTAATTGTATGTTCATACTTTGTTGTTTCTTGTGTAATATTTTTGGTACTAAACTGCATTTCCGCATGAATAAACCACGCTTCCGGACAACTTGTCCAGAATTGTGGTAGTTTGACCGATGTAGCACAAATCTCATTACTATTTCGATCGACATACGGATTTGTTAACTGTTCGTTAAACGTACTATTTTGTAAATCAATAAGAGTTTCATTTAAATTATCTCGTGTAGATGTATGTGTATCATGTTGTGGTGAACGAAACATTTTGATTATTTGAATTTGAGCAAATATCAAAAGACCTCAGAAAAGGGAAGTTTACAATTAAAAAATTAAATATTATATATGTAATATTTAATAAATAACAATTAAACTCTGTATTTAATTATTTTCAACAAAACTAGCGCTAAAGTTATACAATACAGCTCACCAGTAAAACTAAGATTGTTGTTGATGTTAGCGCTACTGCTGCGGTCGCTGCTGATGCCGCTACTGCTGCGGGTGACTTCGATGCTCTAGCCTCGTTGCCTGTGTCCGCTTCTTCGTCTTCTTCCTCCTGCAGCAGCAATGGCAGTGATGTTGGAGATGTTTTGTTTCGTTCTGTTAATGCGCTACTACCAGCTGGAACTTCTCCTATTACGCTCAAAGAGGAGCATTGAGCACCGCTCAAACTTTCCGGTTGCTGTTCTTGATCTTGAGAACGCTGCTGCTGCTGCTGGTTATGTGGTTGTTGTTGACTGGTTGATGCAATATCAGCACTTAAAATAGCTTCTCCAGTGACTGCTTCTAATGCAGATGCATCAATGATATCGGCAATTGTGCTAGTGTCGTTGAATGCGCATTGGTGCGTTTGAAGCTGTTGCTGTTGTTGCTCTACTAATTGTGATTGCTGATCTTCAACAAAAGGCAATGGGGATATTGCTTTCTGATGTTGCGGCTGCTGTGATTCAAGTGGTGGTGATAACGGTGGTGGTAGTAGTGCGTGTTGGAATATGCCAGCTGCTCGCAATGGTGCTACTCTTTTTCACTGCTGACTATTGCGACGCATTGCACTTCAACATTTTGGTGTAACATCTCATCATCTGTGGACTGGTACCGCGGAGCAACAAACCAAGTGTACAAAATCAATATATCAGCTTAATGTAATTTCTCCTGGCAGGGTCGCCAAGTGTAGCGTATTTAATTATAGAATTGTATTTTTTAAAAAATTTATTTTTATATAAACGTAATTTTAATTTAACGTATTTTAAATTTCAAAGAAGAAAAAATTCTGAAGTAATCAAAAATTTTCTTTTTGATTTACATAAATTGAAAAAGAATTTAATTCAATAATTTCAAAAATAACAAAGTATAAAAATGAACAAAGTACAATAGTAAATAGTATTAACACTACAGTTGGGTTATATTCCACTTCAAACTGCTCAATTTCCCCCGGTAAATGCTGTTTTTCGCCAATTTTAAAACGGTTCCCTAGGGGTCTGTGGGAGGCCCCGTAGGGGGGGTGCAACTTTTAGTAAATTGGGGGCTGCCCCTTTCGAATGGGGGGGATTTAGGGGGCCACGCCACACCCCCTCCGCCCCCCAAAAACGACCTGCAAATAACTAAACATTTCCTAAAAAAATTCCACACACTTGTAGTCAAGGGTCTACGTATTATTTTGACACTCACTTGTAAATTTTGGTCACTAATTTATTTACAAATTGGGTTTGAAATATGCCCTTTTTTGTAAAATTCGAAATTAGCGTACATTTATCACTCCTATTCTTCTTAAAGCAGCCACGTGGGAAATCTTTAGCCGCTTATGAAAAGTCACCTCTCACCCCCCTGCCCCTCCTAAGGACCACTTGGGAACGGAAACAGCGGAAATTTGGATTTTTTTCAAAACGATTATAGCCCTCACTACTCCTTTCTCTGTTGCCCAAGAAGAGGGGCACCTTTTGCAGAGCACCTTTCTACGTAGGCGGCCATCGGCCGCACTTAGGGATTATAACCCTCAGGCAGTAGCTAAGTAGAATTCTCCTTTCTTTTTTGCTAAAGAAGAGGGGCTGAACACCTTCTGCAGAGATATTTCGTGGATATTTTTTTTTGACAGCTCAGCTCGGAAACTTGCAAAAAAAAATACCATATTTCCAACCGACATAATTAACAAATTAGTGCACAGATATAGTATATTTTATTTTTGCAATAAAGCGTGAACTGTCGTCTACAAGTGTGTGTAAAAGGTTTTTTATTCGATTCACGCGTTTGGGCACAGCAACCCAAAATCGTTGTACAAATTCATTAAGAGCACCCAGCCACTTCACCAATTCATTTTTGGGGTACGGTTTAGTACGTTGCCGATCTATTTCGAGGTATTGCGTCCAACGGGGTGACCCGATCCAAAAAATTTGCACACGCTTGTAGCCAAGGGTCTCAACATTATTTTAACACCCTTTTTTGTAATTTTTGGTCACTAATTTATTTACAAATTGGGTTAGAAATATGCCCTTTTTTGTAAAATTCGGAAATTAGCGTAAATGTATCACTCCTATTCTCCTTAAAGCAGCTACTTCAGCAATATATTTTTATATTCTCCTTCACTTTACACTTTACTCGATGAGTTATAACTTTCTTTATAACATTAATATTAATCTATTAATCACAATTTATTAAATAAAAACACCTTCTAAATCATTCGTCTGACTTTGGTTGCATATGCAAATTAAATGGCGTAGTTCAGCTGTCAAACTCCAAAATATGCAAAAGAATGAGAGACAAAAGAAAATAGGATATAGCCCTGTAAGCATTAAAAATATACAAAGGTGTTCTCTGCAAAAGGTATTCAGCTTTTCTTCGCAAAACATAAAGGAGAATTATACTGCTTGAGGGTTATAATCGCTAAGTGCGGCCGAAGGCCGCCTACGCAGAAAGGTGTTCTCTGCAAAAGGTGTTCAGCCCCCCTTCTTTGGCAACGCAGAAAGGAGAATTCTATTGCCTCAGGGTTATAATTCCTAAGTGCGGCCGAAGGCCGGCTACGCAGAAATTTAGCTACTTAGACGAACGTGTAAAACATAAAGCACTCTACAGTTTCGAGATCAAACAAAAAATAAATAAACTTTTTGGAAGAGAGAAATCCAGGTCGATAGAATTCGAGATCGTGTTGAATTCGTTTAAAGCTCTTGAAAAAGGAGCATTTCTGGCATACTCCGTTTTGCCATTTCCTCCAAAAAACGGCAGAGGACTGCGAAGATTCCTTAGAGGAACATTGAAGTTGACCTGCTCTAGGAGCGTAGGGCAATCGATCACACCATTTATTAAGTTAAAGGTGAAAGTTAGAGATAGCAAAGATCTTCTGGCTTCCAGAGATTTAAGGTCTATTAATAGCAAACGAGACTTATACGATGGAATAGGCTCGCTGAAGTTAAGATTTCTGGGGGCAAATTTAAGAAAAACCTTCTGAACCCTTTCAATCCTATTAATTAGGTTTGAGTGGTATGGCCTCCAGATAAAAGAAGCATATTCTAACTTAGAACGAACAAAAGATGTGTATAACAATTTAAGTGTATAGGGGTCAGAGAACATTGAGCTCTGACGCCTGAGGAAACCATGTACAGCGTAAGATTTAGAAATGATGTGACTGATATGACTGTTAGAAGACCAATTAGAGCTGAAAATTACACCAAGGTCTTTGATTTCTTGGACTTTTTGAAGTTGAGTTTGAGAGATTACATAAGACGTCGAAAGAATATTGTGACTTTTGGAAAAAGTAACTTGAAAACATTTTTTAATATTCAGAGAAAGGCGAGAGCTGAGACACCAGTTGTGTAGAATATTAATCTCGGACTGAAGTCTTAGCGCATCATGCGCGTTTTCAATCACAGCAAACATTTTTAAATCGTCAGCATACAGCAAAAATTTAGCAAATGAAAAACAAGAACTCACATCATTTATAAATAATACAAAGAGTAAGGGACCTAAAATGCTACCTTGAGGAACCCCCGATGAGGCAATGAAAGATTCCGAAGAACAACCACTAACAGAGACCACACAGCGCCTATCCGACAAATAAGATTTGAGCCATTGCAAAAATACTGAGTGGAAACCCAGTGCGGCTAGCTTACTGACCAACAAACTGGGCGAAACTCTATCAAATGCTTTGGCAAGATCAGTGTAAATGCAGTCGACTTGGAAACCGTTCGAGATAGCGGCAATATAATACTCACTAAAGACGCCTAGATTAGTAACCGTAGATCGGTTGGGGACGAAACCATGTTGATTGGGTGAGACTAGACTTTTTGTCGCGAAATACATTTTCTCCTTGACGATAACTTCAAAAAGTTTGGAAATTGTTGAAAGTTTCGAAATGGGTCTGTAATTACAGACATCACTTTTGCTGCCACTTTTAAGAATAGGGGTAATTGAAGTCAATTTCAATTCATCATAAAAAATACCGGAGGCTAGAGACCTATTGAAAATAATTTTTAAAGGAGAAATCAAAGCAGGACACTTCTTCATAAAGTTTTAAGAGAGCCCATCAATATCTTGTTTTGCAGAAGCTGATAGATTTAAAATGCCATTAGCAATATCGTCAGACGAAAGTCTAAGGGAGCCAAAATTAGTAGAATTCACACTAGCAGAGAAACTAGAATCCACAGTAGGGTTATCATCTACAAAATTAGAACTAAAAAATGCAGCAAATAGATTTGCAACTTCAGCTGGAGTGGAGGCACACTTATCTTCAAAAAATACAGCTGAGGGAATACTAGAGTTGTTCTTCTTAGACTTAATAAAATGCCAGAACGATTTCGGATCTTCTTTGATATTGGATTCAATACCTAAGATATAATTTCTGTAGAGGAATTTATTCAAGCAGTTAAACTTTTTAAGATGGACCTGATATTTTTCAAAGAAAAACTGACTTCCAGAGGCCTTAAACTTATTATAAAATTTGTTTCTAAGATTCTTAAGTTTTTTCAAGTCACGATTATACCACGGTAATTTATAGGGTCTTTTTCTAATTAATGGAATGAATTTAAAACAAAAATCAGAAATTACAGATTTGAAAGTAGCGAAGCATTTAGCTACATCGGGGCAAGAGAGTAAGCTTTCCCAATTTAATTCACCCAGTAATCTATTTAACTTGGGATAATCGCAGGCTGCATAATTAAACTTAGGTTTGTCACCAGCATTGAAAGACGGGAATACGTAAAATTCAAATTTTAGTAGCAGAGGAACATGATGCATATTAGATGGAGTGATCGGATTGTGGCAAACTTCAATGTTACACTTAATGTTATCACTAATAAATATGAGGTCAAGAATTCTATCCAACTTGTTAACAAAATTATTGATTTGTAATAAATTAAGGCTTAAGAGGCTATCTATAAAGTACACTTCATGGGACGCATTGACATTAATTGGCGAGAGACCAGCATTGGAAAAAGATGTGGACCAAGATACATTACAAAGATTAAAATCGCCTAACACACAAAGGTGGTCATCTCCTAGCTTATTTAATACTAAAGACATTATGTTGTCAGCATGCGCTTTATAAAGATTATAATTACTATTAGGCGGGATATAAGAAACAATCAAAAACAGAGAGTCATGACTAGATGAGGCACTGATGCGAACACAAAGCTGATCCAAAAGGGAATCATCATTTTCAAGCGAGACAGAGAACGAATGAAATTTACGCTGAATCGCAATAAGAACTCCGCCGCCTCTCAGACAACCAGTCTTAGTTGCATCTCTGTCCTTCCTAAAGACATTATAAATGTTTGAATCAAAAAATTCCTCATCAAAGAAATCCGCATTTAGCCATGACTCAACAATAACAAAAACATCGAAATCCCTTTGCGAGCTAATAGAGCGTACCGCTGCTGATTTTGTTCGAAGGCCAGAAATATTCTGGAAATAAACCTTCAAAGAGCTATAATTATATATCTGCCTATTAACATTTAAATATGCATTACAACTAAACTTATTAATATCCAATACTACGGGATCAGGCGCATCCGAGGACAAATGAACTAATTCGGATGAGTTTGTTTTGACCTTCTGTGAAAAAAACGGAACGGCCGAACAGAAACAGCTGGCCACAACTCTGGTCTTATTAGATTTTCGCAATCGAACTCGCTGACGTCAAGCTTAAAATTGACATAGGATAAGAAATCCAGTCTCGACTCTTTTTTGACTAACTTGTAGTAGGGTAAGTGCCGCTTATCAATGCCAGCGTGTCTCACCACATAATCAACAATATTGTCACAGGAGACGGTTGGCACGAAAGATGAAAGGTGCAACCACTTAAAGCGGGCAGCCACCCCAAGATCACTACAATCATTTGATCCCACCACGCGAGTTCGCTTTTGGATGTGCTTTGTCCTTTTACTCTCAGCAGTAAGCCAAACAGGGCTGCGGGTAGGAGAAAGAGGATTAGGCACTTCCGCGGCCGTAGCGTTAACAGCATCAGATTCAGCACTAACACCACAAGTCGGTATATGTTGTGAAACAGGTGGCAAACCAGCAGAAGAAATATTGTTCACAATTAAAGGAGCGAGTAAAGATGAACTAGCAGCAACAGAAACATTAGCAGTGCACGGTGTTGTTGGCTTCGTGGTGGTAGTAGTACCCGCAAGTAAATTGGCAGTGCAACCTGCGACAGTATTTGTGTCCATGAGGCTGTCAGCATGACGCACAGTTTTAGAGCAATCCCGCCAGGATCAACTTTGCGAGCGGGAGAGATGACGTTAACACTCTGAGCCGATGTGCGGTCAGACAAGACGCTTTTAGAGCCAAACGAATGAGGGACAGCGGGAGCCACAACAGCACCAGGCCATGAACAGTAATTATTGTTGTTGTACGAAGCACTAGCACCAAACTCAGCAGCCAACAAACCCACATTAACAGCATTTAAATTACTTGCATTCGAATTGTTGGTGGAATGCAAAGATAAATAAGATTTTTTAATGCATCAAGTTGATTAGAAAGATCTTTGAATTTAGCATCAAAAGCGTTAGATATTAACNACTTGCATTCGAATTGTTGGTGGAATGCAAAGATAAATAAGATTTTTTAATGCATCAAGTTGATTAGAAAGATCTTTGAATTTAGCATCAAAAGCGTTAGATATTAACTCAATACTACGCTTTTGGGTCCCCATGACCTCGTCGAGAACTTTCCAAAGTTTCTCCGGCATGACAACACAGTCTTCACAGAGGTAAATTAAATGCCGGTTAGTTTTAACCAGGTTCATATCGTATTCAGATATGCCTTTACAACACGCACGATGGAATGTTTTCTGGCAAAAACCATTACACGGCACCANTCCCCATGACCTCATCGAGAACTTTGCAAAGTTTCCCCCGCATGACAACACAGTCTTCACAGAGGTAAATTAAATGCCGGTTAGTTTTAACCAAGTTCATATCGTATTCAGATATGCCTTTACAACACGCACGATGGAATGTTTTCTGGCAAAAACCATTATACGGCACCAAATTCGCGTCAGATCTCGAAAACGCTTTACTACATTTGCCACAGCAGTTGGCCATTACGAAAGAATAAATAAAATATCGGAGCAAAAAGAAAACACGTCTGCACACAACAAGAGCTAGTTACATTTTTGTAACTATATGTTGTATAATTCTTACAAAAATTGAATTAATATAAAATAATTATAAAAAAAACTTACAAACCCTAAGTGCGGCCGACGCCGCCTACGCAGAAAGGTGTTCTCTGCAAAAGGTGTTCAGTGCCTTTTCTTCGCAACACAGAAAAATAATTCTACTTTGTGAGGGTTATAATCCCTAATTGCGGCCGGAGGCCGCCTATGCAGAAAGGTGTTCTCTGCAAAAGGTGTTCAGTGCCTTTTCTTCGCAACACAGAAAAATAATTCTACTTTGTGAGGGTTATAATCCCTAATTGCGGCCGGAGGCCGCCTATGCAGAAAGGTGTTCTCTGCAAAAGGTGTTCAGTGCCTTTTCTTCGCAACACAGAAAAATAATTCTACTTTGTGAGGGTTATAATCCCTAATTGCGGCCGGAGGCCGCCTATGCAGAAAGGTGTTCTCTGCAAAAGGTGCTCATTGCCCTTTCTTCGCAACACAGAAAGAGAATTCTACTTTGTGAGGGTTATAATCCCTAAATGCGGCCGAAGGCCGCCTACGCAGAAAGGTGAGTTCTCTGCAAAAGGTGTTCAGTGCCTTTTCTTCGCAACACAGAAAGAGAATTCTACTTTGTGAGGGTTATAATCCCAAGTACGGCCGAAGGCCGCCTACGCAGAAAGGTGTTCCCTGCAAAAGGTGGGCTTGTTCGGGTTGCAATCAGTGTTGCCGTTTTAGCCCTTTGGTGACTAGATTTAGCTACCACATACTTGTTTCGGCCACCTAAATTTAAAATTTTTTAGCCCTTTTTAGAATTTATTCATACTTGGCATGAAAAAGTTGTATATGCTTAATATGTTTTTTTTTTTGCATTTATGTAAGAGATGAATTTTTAAACTAAGAAAGACTGATATATATACATATATGTATTGTATGTTCCTTACGTTTTTATACATACATACTGTAAAAGTGTTGGGGCTGTTAACTTTTCTGTTAACGATTTAACTATAGTTTAAAATAAATTTGTTTGCAAATTTGTTAAATGACCCATCAAGTCAATTGACCGTGTATGTTCTTGTGGTGTGATTATACCAGCATGCTGGTATCGTTAGTGGTGAAATTAGCTCAATTTTCTAAGTAAAAAGTATTTTGGCGGAAATTTCTTGCGCTATATGAGTCAAAGCTGTATTTGTGGAAGATTACGTTCACGATATTGCAGTTGTGAATTACAAAGAAAAACAATGTTAAACAAAATGCTGGAAAAATTATGAAATTTCGGTTCTAATCATTTCGATCTTTCCTCGATCTCATTTGTAAAGGAATAGATATTGTACCAGCATGATGGTAAGTTATATTCTTCGAGCCTGATGGTACAATCACTTGATGGAACCAGCAAGCAGCTGGTACAAAAAGGTTTTTGGTTGGATAAAATATTAGCTTTTTTTCCAAAGTTCATTGTTTTTATATACCATTACTTATTGAAAATGTTTACGTGTATTCTTATATATGTATATGTAAGTAAAAAATTTTAGCTACCATTTTTAGCCACAACGAATTTTTTGTTATCTCTTTTTTAGCCCTTTTTTAAGGGAATTTGGCTACCACTAAAAATTATGCGCGGCAACACTGGTTGCAATCACAATCGCAGTGTTGCGCGAATTATTAAAGTATCGCGTTCTGTGTGAATTTCTAGCAATGTATTATCGTTTGGGCAGTTGCAACACTGTTGCCATTTTTCATCAGTACGTCAGTAATGCCGCTTTTATTACGTGCCTCGAACAGGCCCGGTGTTTTTTTAATAATTATTTTACATTGATTCAATTCAATTTTTGTAAGAACTATACAACATACATATATATAAAGTACGTACATATACCAAATTATTCATCCATTTGTTTTTAAGAAATCTTGATTTCAAAAATAGCTTATTTTGAACTTTAACCTTTGATAATTGCGATTGTTGTTTTTTCCCTTGAAAAAAAAGGAGACCGTTGTACTCAGCTCAATCGATCCCAATATTTTGTTTTCTAATTTGAGATTTGGAGCCAAACTGCATTTGTTCCAAGTTGAAAATTTNGGTTCTCTGTAAAAGGTGTTCAGCGCCTTTTCTTTGCAACACAAAAAGAGAATTCTACTTTGTGAGGGTTATAATCCCTAAGTGCGGCCGGAGGCCGCCTATGCAGAAAGGTGTTCTCTNGTTATCTCTTTTTTAGCCCTTTTTTAAGGGAATTTGGCTACCACTAAAAATTATGCGCGGCAACACTGGTTGCAATCACAATCGCAGTGTTGCGCGAATTATTAAAGTATCGCGTTCTGTGTGAATTTCTAGCAATGTATTATCGTTTGGGCAGTTGCAACACTGTTGCCATTTTTCATCAGTACGTCAGTAATGCCGCTTTTATTACGTGCCTCGAACAGGCCCGGTGTTTTTTTAATAATTATTTTACATTGATTCAATTCAATTTTTGTAAGAACTATACAACATACATATATATAAAGTACGTACATATACCAAATTATTCATCCATTTGTTTTTAAGAAATCTTGATTTCAAAAATAGCTTATTTTGAACTTTAACCTTTGATAATTGCGATTGTTGTTTTTTCCCTTGAAAAAAAAGGAGACCGTTGTACTCAGCTCAATCGATCCCAATATTTTGTTTTCTAATTTGAGATTTGGAGCCAAACTGCATTTGTTCCAAGTTGAAAATTTGGGGAAACTTCGCGAGAGTGCACCACGCCTAGAAAAAGATGACTTTATAGGAGGTGTAGAGGGGGTCGTACACATCACAAAACTGAAAACCGGACGACGATGAAACTGATAGTTTACGAGTAATTTGTTGTTAAACTTGAAATTTTCACCTAACAAAATGTACGATAACAAACCATTTCAAACAAATACAAGTGTGCGGAACACACACACACACTTAACACACATTTTATTATGAGTTTAGCAACTATGAGTATTATGTGTGCGGCGTAAGATTATTATAAAGGCGAATATGATAAGTGCTTAGGGATTATAACCCCTCCTACGGAGAATTCTCGGGAAATGTTTACTTATTTGCCTTACATTTTTGGGATGGTGGCGGAGGAAGAGGGGCGTGGTCCCCTAAACGCGCCCCCCATTCGAAAGGGCACAGTCCCCCCTTTTGGAAAAGCCGCACCCCGCCCGCCTTCGGGGCCTCCCACAGACGCCTAGGGAACCGTTTGAAAAAGGGCGAAAAACGGCATTTACCGAGGCAAATTGAGCAGTTTGAAGTGGGTTAAAACCCACCTAACAGAATCTGTGGGGTTTTTAAATAAAAGAAATTATCCCACGGTGGTTATCAGGCGAAAGAAGAGAACACCTTGTAATGGTAACCCTATTGATATGGCAGCGATATTCAGGACTAACATAATGTTGGTACTACTGCACATGATGCAATAATACAAGGTCATGATGCTATAATATAAGGTGGTATAAGTTGTGACAGCTCGATTTGACACTGCCTTAGCTCAGTAGAATAAGAAGAAAAACGGGAAGAAATGAATCCCCATTTGGCGGAAAAATATAAAATTTCATATTTTCTTCTAGNAAGTACGGCCGAAGGCCGCCTACGCAGAAAGGTGTTCCCTGCAAAAGGTGGGCTTGTTCGGGTTGCAATCAGTGTTGCCGTTTTAGCCCTTTGGTGACTAGATTTAGCTACCACATACTTGTTTCGNCGGAAAAATATAAAATTTCATATTTTCTTCTAGACAAAATTTGTTTTTTTTTTTNTTGCAATCACAATCGCAGTGTTGCGCGAATTATTAAAGTATCGCGTTCTGTGTGAATTTCTAGCAATGTATTATCGTTTGGGCAGTTGCAACACTGTTGCCATTTTTCATCAGTACGTCAGTAATGCCGCTTTTATTACGTGCCTCGAACAGGCCCGGTGTTTTTTTAATAATTATTTTACATTGATTCAATTCAATTTTTGTAAGAACTATACAACATACATATATATAAAGTACGTACATATACCAAATTATTCATCCATTTGTTTTTAAGAAATCTTGATTTCAAAAATAGCTTATTTTGAACTTTAACCTTTGATAATTGCGATTGTTGTTTTTTCCCTTGAAAAAAAAGGAGACCGTTGTACTCAGCTCAATCGATCCCAATATTTTGTTTTCTAATTTGAGATTTGGAGCCAAACTGCATTTGTTCCAAGTTGAAAATTTGGGGAAACTTCGCGAGAGTGCACCACGCCTAGAAAAAGATGACTTTATAGGAGGTGTAGAGGGGGTCGTACACATCACAAAACTGAAAACCGGACGACGATGAAACTGATAGTTTACGAGTAATTTGTTGTTAAACTTGAAATTTTCACCTAACAAAATGTACGATAACAAACCATTTCAAACAAATACAAGTGTGCGGAACACACACACACACTTAACACACATTTTATTATGAGTTTAGCAACTATGAGTATTATGTGTGCGGCGTAAGATTATTATAAAGGCGAATATGATAAGTGCTTAGGGATTATAACCCCTCCTACGGAGAATTCTCGGGAAATGTTTACTTATTTGCCTTACATTTTTGGGATGGTGGCGGAGGAAGAGGGGCGTGGTCCCCTAAACGCGCCCCCCATTCGAAAGGGCACAGTCCCCCCTTTTGGAAAAGCCGCACCCCGCCCGCCTTCGGGGCCTCCCACAGACGCCTAGGGAACCGTTTGAAAAAGGGCGAAAAACGGCATTTACCGAGGCAAATTGAGCAGTTTGAAGTGGGTTAAAACCCACCTAACAGAATCTGTGGGGTTTTTAAATAAAAGAAATTATCCCACGGTGGTTATCAGGCGAAAGAAGAGAACACCTTGTAATGGTAACCCTATTGATATGGCAGCGATATTCAGGACTAACATAATGTTGGTACTACTGCACATGATGCAATAATACAAGGTCATGATGCTATAATATAAGGTGGTATAAGTTGTGACAGCTCGATTTGACACTGCCTTAGCTCAGTAGAATAAGAAGAAAAACGGGAAGAAATGAATCCCCATTTGGCGGAAAAATATAAAATTTCATATTTTCTTCTAGACAAAATTTGTTTTTTTTTTTTTAATGTATATTCGCAATTAAATGAAATAAAATAAGATATAACACCTTTTTGAGAAATCAAAATGTGTATACTGAGAAAAAATAAAAACAAATCAACTATATTATTAGGCAAAGAATTGTTAAAGAAGAAACACTGTTTCAGCTAAGGCAGTTAATAGGTTTGTATAGTAACTTCTCCAGTAAAACATTGCAGCCAGAGCGTAAAAGCAAAATAGAGCGTAAAATTGACAAGAAGAGAAAACTAGCAGAAAAAGTTACTGAACGCAAAACTAGTAAAAACTTGCAAGTNGGTGTTTTTTTAATAATTATTTTACATTGATTCAATTCAATTTTTGTAAGAACTATACAACATACATATATATAAAGTACGTACATATACCAAATTATTCATCCATTTGTTTTTAAGAAATCTTGATTTCAAAAATAGCTTATTTTGAACTTTAACCTTTGATAATTGCGATTGTTGTTTTTTCCCTTGAAAAAAAAGGAGACCGTTGTACTCAGCTCAATCGATCCCAATATTTTGTTTTCTAATTTGAGATTTGGAGCCAAACTGCATTTGTTCCAAGTTGAAAATTTGGGGAAACTTCGCGAGAGTGCACCACGCCTAGAAAAAGATGACTTTATAGGAGGTGTAGAGGGGGTCGTACACATCACAAAACTGAAAACCGGACGACGATGAAACTGATAGTTTACGAGTAATTTGTTGTTAAACTTGAAATTTTCACCTAACAAAATGTACGATAACAAACCATTTCAAACAAATACAAGTGTGCGGAACACACACACACACTTAACACACATTTTATTATGAGTTTAGCAACTATGAGTATTATGTGTGCGGCGTAAGATTATTATAAAGGCGAATATGATAAGTGCTTAGGGATTATAACCCCTCCTACGGAGAATTCTCGGGAAATGTTTACTTATTTGCCTTACATTTTTGGGATGGTGGCGGAGGAAGAGGGGCGTGGTCCCCTAAACGCGCCCCCCATTCGAAAGGGCACAGTCCCCCCTTTTGGAAAAGCCGCACCCCGCCCGCCTTCGGGGCCTCCCACAGACGCCTAGGGAACCGTTTGAAAAAGGGCGAAAAACGGCATTTACCGAGGCAAATTGAGCAGTTTGAAGTGGGTTAAAACCCACCTAACAGAATCTGTGGGGTTTTTAAATAAAAGAAATTATCCCACGGTGGTTATCAGGCGAAAGAAGAGGGCTGAACATCTTTCGCAGAGAACACCTTGTAATGGTAACCCTATTGATATGGCAGCGATATTCAGGACTAACATAATGTTGGTACTACTGCACATGATGCAATAATACAAGGTCATGATGCTATAATATAAGGTGGTATAAGTTGTGACAGCTCGATTTGACACTGCCTTAGCTCAGTAGAATAAGAAGAAAAACGGGAAGAAATGAATCCCCATTTGGCGGAAAAATATAAAATTTCATATTTTCTTCTAGACAAAATTTGTTTTTTTTTTTTTAAAGTATATTCGCAATTAAATGAAATAAAATAAGATATAACACCTTTTTGAGAAATCAAAATGTGTATACTGAGAAAAAATAAAAACAAATCAACTATATTATTAGGCAAAGAATTGTTAAAGAAGAAACACTGTTTCAGCTAAGGCAGTTAATAGGTTTGTATAGTAACTTCTCCAGTAAAACATTGCAGCCAGAGCGTAAAAGCAAAATAGAGCGTAAAATTGACAAGAAGAGAAAACTAGCAGAAAAAGTTACTGAACGCAAAACTAGTAAAAACTTGCAAGTGAATAGTTGTTGCACCCTTTTGATATTCTGCTGTAAACATGTTACTATTTATAAATCAGTTTTAAACTCTTTGCTTTTCACACAAGCACTTACGCAGTACATCATTAATATTTTGATTTCCACTCATTTTACTTTTTTTTGTGCTAAACCTATTCAACAAATGGCGGATTTTGACATGTATTCTTCTTCTTCTTCTGCTAGCTAATTTCTGCTAGTAGAAATTTCACTAGCAAGAATTTGCAGCTCTCCCGTATTGTTGCGCTCCCGATTTGTTGCTCTCCTGCAAATTTTTTGGGTTATCATACACTTTTCCAGT